CACCACACTTTCAAATGCTTTTAAACACTTTTAGGGGGGGGGGGGGGAATACAAGTAAACACACGGTTAAACTCGTGTGAAAAACATCAATCTTTTGATATACTTTTCATATTGTTGTTATAACTATCATACGAATGCATCAGCATGCAAAACATCTTACGACACCACTTTACCCTCTCGGGATGAAATGTGTTTATAAATAATAACATGCTTTATTTATTTGTTTTCATAACATATTATGACAAGGGTAATCATTTTGGACATAAACATATACATTTCAAAATACGTGACTTAATTGAGAATATGTGAGTCATTCGTCTTCATCGTACCTATCAAGGTATACAAGAAAGTCCTGTTTTATAACCAGAGTCTCCGTCCGGAGAACGTGATAAGTGTGTATAGATCTATACGGGACTGATGATCCCACACCCTGACTATTAGCTACAGCCGGACCGGCAGGTTAAGGGTGACAAGTGTCATAACATTTCGACGCCTGCAGAACGTCGCTACAGGCAAATCCTATCATAGTACGGTTATGAAAACTCACAGGACAGACAATTATTATGGTATTATGTTTTTACGGGAAAAGTAATATTACAGTTATTTTTACGTGAAAATACAAACTTCCTATAGTTTTGTTTACTAATAAAACTATACATCATTATTTTAAGTATGACATATTTACTTACAAGTTACAGTCTTGGGCATTTAAGACTGCTTCCCACTTTTAGGAAAATATAGGTTTTTCCTGGTTCAATACATTCATTTCATACAAACAACGCTTCATTACTCATTTTATAAGAAAATATCGGATTTTCTGGAAAACAAACGTGAACTTTCGAATGGCATACATTTACACAAATATCTACTTATGAACTCACCAACTTAATTGTTGACACTTTTTCTTTGAAGTAACTTGTATTCTCAGGGAATCTCTAAACACCAGGTTAGCAACTACTTTTGGGGACTAATGCTCTGGCGTTAGTAACATCTTTTGGAGCATCATATTGTATTTGACTTTTGAAACATGTAATACAACAATCATGTAAACTTTTCAAATATATATTATGGTGGTGTGTACTTTCTTTACTATTAAATTGTTATGATACTGTACATGACGTCCTCCGCCCCTGAATGTTTCCGTCGTTCAGGTTTGGGGGTCTGACAAATAATAACTTTATCACCACAGCTTTATCAGTGAACCCTTCTCTTTAATTTTTAAATGCACTTCTGGCCATACTAGTTGGCTGCAAATATGGACATTGATGATTAAAAAAGTGGTCAATAAAAAAGTTAAAAGAAAGAAGTGGGGAGCAAGTATCTATGTAATGTTGCAATTCTTATTTTGGCTGAGATCATTATCAATTCTTTTAATAAATTGCAATAACTTCTGTAGAGTATACATAACAACTAACATAGTTTATTTTTGGCATGACTAATAGCCTGACAACTCTTTCAATGGTTGCTAACAAACTGGTTCTACAGTTTACTTATTTACATGATCAAGTGTTAGAAGAGAAGGTACATTCAAACTTCTTCATATTCAACCAGTCAACTCCTTGTAGAATAAAGTGTCCCCTCAAAGCTGATTTGAAGCTGGAAACAAGTAGAATTGTAATTGGTATCAAATATTACAAAAAAAATGTGAAATAACTAAGAACTTGACTTCAGTTCCACCATTATTCTTGCTTACATCGCGAAACTCTTCAATGTCTTTTCAAGATTTATCTACCATATGTTTGGAATTATTAATAAAAGAAGCATAAAAATAAATATAAAATAAGAAGAAGTGTCAAAGAAAATGACTTATCATCAAACCTCAAGGGAAAAAAGAAGAGAAATGGGTCTGTTAATAAGTACAAGTGTCCCAAAGAACGAATTAACATTGAAATTCATGAAATTTACAAGTACGTAAAACCTTTTCAGGAAATGCATGAAGCATCTTTCATTGACATTTCAAACAACAATTTAGATTCATTTTGAGCACATGTGTGTATAATTTCCCCATTCTCACCCAATTACTTCACAATCGCATGTTTGTATATAGAGAAAACAAAATGCTAAACCTAATCAGGACTCCATCAACATAGTTTGTTTATTTTGTTATCAGAATAGACAACAAAAAAACATGAGAGACAGCCTTGTAGCCATACCCGAGAGAGTAGGGCCCATTAAGTAGATCATAGTTAATTTTTTCACTAATAAAATAATCATGTATATTATAATTATGTTATGCGGTTGTATTATAACTCTCATTCCTTATGAAAGCATCTAATGTTTTAGTTAATTCATTCATTATTAATAATTGGACTTCCTAAATCTGAAGATCGGAGAATCAAAACAATAAAATTTTGAGATTTGGGTAAATAGTTGCAACTGAGAACAATCTGAATGGAATAACAGATTGGGATTGGCAACAAAGTGTCCTTATTTTTTAATCTTATCAAATCCATGAAGTCACGACAGATAATGGTCTTCAAGATTAAAGCACTTAATAGAAGACAATTGTGAATTCTTAGGACCAGGATGATTGGGTACCCACCATTGCTCCCCCATTGATTCTATACAAGGAATAAGGGCCCAAAAAAGTTCGAATTCATGTATGTTTTCAAGTGTAAACCATCATCTTAATGAAATCTAAGATACAGGTTTGGGGAGGTTCGTCACAGAGGGCAGGAAGAATAGGAGAATGACTTGTGGCCGGAGGTGGGTGGTGTGAGGGTCTACCCATCGGTGGATGGCCTTGATCGGTACCAACATTTTCTACATCTCCAACCGTCGAACAAGAACCGGAAGTGCAGAGGTGAGAGTACGATATGACTACAGGAGTGCAAGGTAGGAAGAAAGGGAGCATACTTCGTTTTCTTTCTAAACCGGAGGCCCTTTTTTGTAAGTCGATAGAGGTTGAGGGTTCATGAACGTACAAAGAAGGATGAGCAGAAGAGGCAAGGAAGGAAACGGTACCTGCGATAGATTTGATGGATATCATTGTCCGAATTTTTGAAGGATTTTGTGAGATCTGTAGAAGAAGGTCGACTTCTTTCACCGTCGTGGCCCTCTTCGTTCCCTCAAGCCACCATCTCAAATGTTGGTCGATGTTTTGAGAGAGAGCAATGGAGAAATTGAGCTTGAACCTGGGGATGTGTGAAAAAAACCCTAAAATCACGATTTTGTGCTCAAGAATACATGGATGCACGTTTTGTTAAAAAGCCCTAGTTTGTTAAAAAAATAATAGACGCGCCTTTTCTAAAAAAATTAAAAAGTGACACCTCTGCACGACACACATATTTGTTAGGCGCCCTCCGTGTTTTCTTTTTTTCTTTTTTTTTACACTTATTTTAGGGCATCAAAAAATATGTGTCCTAAATCCTTCAAATTTTGAGAGAGCTAACATTATTTGTAGGACACACACTTTTGTGTATCATAAATCTGTGCGTGTAATGTGTCGCGTGTTATTAAAGAGTTATTTTCTCGTAGTGGATCCATTCTTCTCTCAGAAGATCCATTCATTTGTCACATGCTCAATGAACCCCAAGTGCTCCATTGAGGTCCAAGTGCTCCAAATGTTTCATGAACTAGATCCAAATGCTCGAGTCACATTTAACACATTGATTAATGATATGTTGAGTATGGGGTATATCTATATGATTGTATTGCTATTGATATGCATAAACCGGTAGATCTGTAGGACTACCTATGATTTCTGGTTTCATGATTGTCTGTCTGTTGAATATGTTTTCTATCTGTTATATGTCGACGTATTGTGTTGGGTTAATACATTACTTCTATGTGCGGGAGTCAATAGACCAAGGTTATTCTAGTCTGGTGACTGAGTGGGCCCGTTGTATATTGGTATTCCAGTCCGAAGAGTGAGTGGACCTGTTATATATTTGTTATATATTGGCATTCCAGTCCGATGATTGATTTGGCCAGGGGTATTCCAACCCGATGGTTGTGGACCCCTGGGTATTCCAGTCTGATGATTGATTGGACCCAACATGCTTATTTGTATATGATATGTGTACCATGTGATGTTACTTTACGGGAACTTACTAAGCATTGATTTATAGTTTTAGTTTTGTTTGAGGTACTTTAGAGGACCACAGCAAGACGAAGGCGTGACCATACACATCCTGATTTTTATGTTGTTAATCTTGGGAGACTCTGTTTTTGAATAATGTTTTGAAAATAATGGTTATGTAAAAATTTTATTTAGTAAATGGGTTGTTTGAAAAGTTTAAATTCATTGTGATTTTTGAGACGTTACATGCTTCGTATGTTGATCCCTCAAAATACTTAAAGTTCTTCAAAGTGTTGTGTAGTAGAGAACTTATATATCTGGACTCCTAGAGCTTTAATTCAATATTTATTCTTTAATTAATGAATTTACTTTTTAGAACTTGTAGTTATAATTTTAGTTCTAGCAAGACATTGGGAGTAGAACGCTGAAACAGGGACAAAACTACAAAACTATAGTTATAGTCTATATTAATCTATGGATCAATCACTCCCCCTATTCCATCAATCCGTTAAAAGACACAATTTATAGTTTATAAAGCAATTTAAATGAAATGGATGTTGAAAATAAGCTAGACTTCAGGGGCTATTATTTAATAGGGAAAATGACACTTATGCCCTATAAAGTTCTAGGATTGACCATTTTAGTCATTTAAATTTTTCGTGGCTTTATGAGGAACCAAGTTGTGGCAACCTGTCTTTTTAGTCCCTTTACTTGTTTTAGCCGGTTTAAGGGACATATAGACAAAACTTGGGGCCCACCCATCTCTCTCTCTCGTTAAACCTCTTCTAAACAAAACCGACAGCAACCCCGCCTGCCGCATCGCCTCTAGTCGCCTCCCATCTTCCTCTCCTCGGCTGGAAACAACCACTTTAACCACCACCAGCTCTCACCATCGCAAATCGAACCCAGCTCTCACAATATCCCTCGCCCCCTTACACTACCATAACCATACATCGTTTCCAATATAAAATTACAGACGATGTCTTCTTCAGGTCCTAGAAATCAACCAGATACCAAACTCTATACAAAGGTTGCCGGTACACAGTTTTACTTGGATCCCACCTACCATGAAAGCCACATACTTCAAAAAGAATCAGATCCCACCTACCATGAAAAACAATTTCTGATGAGTTCTGTCCGGCAATACCATGAAACGGAACCACACAAGGTAATTGATCCGGATATAATAGATCAAATTGACAGTCGTTCTTTTGTATCAATGATGTGCCTTTGACTAGCAAATCTATGCTTCCGTATATAGTACACCGCCAAACTGTTGAATGTTGTAGATTACCTCAAACACATTGACAATACATGTAATTTACTCTTAAAACTTGCTAAGGTGCTAATCTCCGGCATGATAAACTTTCCGGTGAGGAGGCAGACGGCAGGGAGATTGATTGGAGCTGATCCTTTGAAAGCGGGGCTGTGCCGACTGAAAAAGATCTCGACTGAGCCCAGGGCCCACCGGAGGACTTGGTTTAGACGATCCGAGAGATTGATTGGAGCTGATCCTTTGAAAGCGGGTCGTTTTGGCATACAGTATATCGACCTCCATCCACGGCAACAACAGTGATAATGGGTGGGTGTGGGTTGTGTTTGCAGCCCAAGAGAACACGATGGTGGGTGCTGGCGGCGACTCTTGGTGGTTCCGGGTGGCAGTGGGTGGTCGAGGGTGACAATCCTTGACCGCTCTTGTTCCCCCTTCGTTCCTTGGCAGTAATTCAGTGGGAGGGAGGGAAAAGTTGACTTTCACAAAGTCAGAGAGAGAGAGAGAGTAAGTAGGGAAAATTCAAAGGCAATATAAGAAAATTGGTCAACAAATGTCAATCTGTCAATAAAGTAACGGGGTGACTCCTTCATTTTAGCTAAAAGGATGTAATCGACCAGACAAACACAACTTCGTTCCCTTATAAGGCCACAAAAATTGTTTAGGGACTAAAAAGATAAACCCTAGAAAGTTCGTAGGGCATTTATGTCATTTTCTCCATTTAATATTGTGATAGATAGGCAGTTACAAAATGGGATCGTCTTCTTGAAGGGGTGCCATTAATGGGTATCTTAAAGAGGTGTCTTCCGAAAGTGTTCAATGGTTCATAAAGGGGTTGCATTGGTTGGTTAATAACCATCATTAACTGTCATCATGCCTATTATAAATATATATGTATTTGTGTCAATAACATGTTGATTTGTTGATTGTGAGATATATAAAAAATTGACATTTCTTCACTAGAATCTCTCTTTCTCTCTTTATGTTTTCAGTACCTTTCTCCAACATAGTCATGGTGATTCAAGACTGAAAGGTGAAGGAATGAAGAAAGACACTAGAATGAGAAAACATTTAAAAAAAACAGAAAATAGGAGGAAAAAGAGAAAATGATATAAAGAGATCTTTTGTGATATTTGAATGCCAAAGATCATGAAGAAGACGATGCAATGAAGAAGGGTTTATCTGGATACTATTTTCATCCATGAATTTTGAAGTCTTTTGGTATCGAGCCTAAGATCATTGAAAAGATTAGAATAAAAGAAAAGAGGAAAATACGTTCAGAGGAAAAGGGTTTTCTTGTTTTTCGATATTAAATTATAAAGGACAAGGGAAAGACCACATAGTTGAATATACTGGTGGTTGCAATCAATAAATTTTTTAAATGAGAAAAATGACAATGCTAAAGCTATATCTATGACCATCTATGAATAAAGGAATGGTACATCATCTTGTAGACAAGAAGGTACACTTTTTATTTAAATTAATAAGGAAATAAGGTCTTATGGGGAGAAATTATGTACGTGCCTTAGATTCTTAGAAAGTCAGAAAATGGCAATATGGCATGGTTCACGGGTATGTTTGGCTGTTACAAGAAGTAACGTAGGTGGGTTTGTAAGACTACTCCTATTGGTGATCTTTTTACAACTTGGTCACCAAAACTAAATTAAATAAAAATAAAAAATAACCAAAAATGGCCAAATAAGGAGAGGAGGCGTGGTTCACCAAATAAAGTCGTGACTATTTGTGTTAATTTTCAATTGTTTTTTTTTTCTTTTCTTTTCTTAAATAAATCTTATAAATATTAAATTAGATTTTATCTTTTTAAAAATAAAAATAAAAAATATACCTAAATTTATAATTTTTTTCTCTACAAATAAAGACAAATATTCTATGAACAAGATGAAGTTTTGATTGATCCCGATTGAAAAGATCTTTGTGTTTTAAGTTTGAAGGTTTCAGGTTGATTGAAGACTGTGAATTGGTGGGGTTATACAAGTGTAGCGTAGGGGGGGTATGTTGAAAATAAGCTAAACTTCAGGGGGTATTATGTAATATTGTGATAGACAGGTAGTTACAAAATGGAATCGTTGCCTTGAAGGGGTGCCATTAATGGGTATCTTAAAGAGGTGTCTTCCGAAAGGATTCAATCAACGGCTCATAAATGGGTTGTATTTGTTGGTTAATAATTAACATATATCATTAACTGTCATCATGTCTAGTATAAATATATGTATTGTATCTGTAACATGTTGATTTGTTGATTGTGAGATAAATAAAAAGTTTACATTTTCTGCACTAGAAGCTCTCTTTCTCTCTTCATGTTTTTAATGCCTTTCTCCAACAATCGAGAAGGTTGCTCGACTTTGAACATTCCAAATTCCGAAAACCAAAAAACGAACCACCCGTTTTCGCCCTACAACTCATGCTATCTTGCATTTGAGAAGAATGATGTTATCATATTAATCATTATTTTATCATAGCTAACCTTTCGCCCGTAAAAAGAGTTCTTGAATTCCATAAAGAAAGTTTTTTTCAATCTTTTCCACATAAGAGAATGGTTGAAGAGGACCACAAGAAAGATGATGAAGCCAAGCATCTCCTCTCTTCAATCTGAACCCTTACACCTAAATTTTTATCTTTACAAAGCTTAACTTTGGGCCTCATGCAAAAACTGAAAGCAACAAAGAATTCTATAATAAGATTTAATTACCTAAATTGAGGACCATGTGCATATCACGAATAATAGAGCACATCACTATATTATGTTTTTTCATTTAATAATGTTGCAATGATTTTACAAAATCAGCATAAAATTAAATGGGCCAAAAGCTTGATACTAGAACCTTTGACACTGAGAATTATTTTGATAAATGAAAATGTACCTCCTTCAAGAATGCATGCTCTGCATTCGAAGTACAATAGGATTTTTATATTATCCGAGCGAATGCCCAATGTTATGTCAACGAGTCTTGATAAATTAGAGGTTGTTGATATCCTTAGTTATTGTAAGAATAAACTCTATAATTCACTTGCTCATGCAAAAGTAGGGTTTCCATGTACGAGCCAACAAAGAATAAACCATATCTTCCATAAATCCCAATTTCTTTGATGTGTTCTGACAGGGGTTCATAGACAACAAGTGCAGCAGGTTCTTGATCATGACCTTTCAGTCCCAATATAGGTTTACCACTCTTTGTAAACCCGAGTGTAATATTGGGGCGAAAATCCCATATATTTGGTGTTTTAATGGTGAATAGCTTTGTAAACAAATTAGGGACAACACGATCCATCATCCATACAACACAAACTTGTTTGTTGATGTTTGTACTATATTCAAGCACAGCTAGAGACTCCCATACCTTAGAAATGGACAAATTAACACATCGCTGGTGTGCTAAGAAGTCTGGTAAGTCTACCATTCTAATTTCTTCGGTAGTCATATCATATGACATAATTAGATTATTTCGGAGACTCGGAATCCCATCAAAACAAAACCGATAAATAAACTTATCTATTACTACTTGCTCCCATGTAAGTGTAATCGTTCCATTAGGGGGTTTGCTAGATGGAATTCTCCAACATCCAGCGCTTAACGTAAAAACCTCAACTACCCAGTGCATGTGATCCTTAGTTCTTGGATCCCCATACGTAACACGTTTAAATTTCACAACTGTAGGGTCATTAGTGGCAGGAGAAACCCCAAAACCAAGAACAGTACTTTGTTCTTCACACCACAGTGAAGACTCATGCGTAGTTATATAAACTGATTTTCTAATCGAAGGATTCCAAAGAACAACCCCCTTCACTGTTTCATCGTTGGTGGATCGACATGGATCTTTATAATAACTGTACAAACACAACAGTCCATGAGAGCTACCCACAACGGATCGTAAATTCTTAAGTAGTTTAGGAACAGTCGAAGTGAACTCGTGTAAGGCCAAAGTGTCATCATCCACAAACGAAACAAATCTATCCTTAGCAGACCATGGATCATTGTACCATACAGATAGACGCTGCGGCTGAGTCTGGCTGACGTTGTATTCAGCAATAAACTCCGAGCTGTCGATCAAAGATTTCCATGGTTTTGAGACGGATCTGAATTTAAGTAATGACTTTAGAGGAAGTCTTTTGATGATTTCAAATTGGATTTGGAAAGGAACGTAGTCTGACATTTCGATATTAATGGAAGGTGCTTGGCCTTTAATGGGAGGTGCTTAGCTCTTGGTTATATAATTTTTTAGGGTTGATAATAATAGGAGCATCGTGGAGTTGTGCAGGGTGGGGAATATGAATTTTGGGCCACCGATTCTACTGTGATGGTGTTTTTGTATAAAGGTATTGTGAATTTTGATGAGATAATACAATATTTAATTTTACCTAGTAATGTGCTTTCGATGGGACTTGGTCCCCCAATAACTAGCCAGTAAAATAGATCCTATTTTATTTTATTAGCTTCTTTTTTTTAGTAGCTTTTATGTTATGTAAAGGTTATACAAAGCTTATTAGCTTTTCAATAAAGTATCACTACAATCTTGTCTCATATTTGATTTCACTTTACATAATACTTGGTATTAGATCCGATCCTAAAGGCCTCGTGTGAGAGTGAAGGGAGAGAAGAACTTATCAGTAAACATGAGTGAACGTACGATAGTATAGTGAACGAGAGTAAACACACATGAAATGAGAGATGTCAAATAGGGGAGAACTTACTGAGCATTCTGAGATTCGAAGGTGAATATGATCACTGGAGTATGCTAATAGAGAATCTTCTTCGGTCGAAAGAGTGTTGGAATCTTATTGATCCAGGTTATAAAGAACCAGCGGCAGGATCCAAAGAGACAGATGTTGAGAAGACGACAAGAGTAGAACTGAAGATCAAGGATCTTAAAGATAAATACTAGTTGTTTGCAACGATTGACAGAGGTATTTTGAAGACAATACTGCAAAACGAAACATCTGCGGGCCTTTGGGGGCCAATGAAACCAAAATACCAAGGAAATGAAAGGGTTTAAAGATCACATTTACAGGCATTTCGAAAGGAATTTGAAATATTGGAGATGAACGAAAGTGAAACGATTACGGACTACTTTGGTTGCGTAATGTCGGTTGCCAACAATATGTGTAACAATGGAGAACCTCTACAAGATATGCACATTGTTGAAAAACTACTACATACCCTAATTGATGGATTCAACTACATTGTAGTATCCATTGAAGAGGAAAAACACATAGATCGCTTAAGTGTCGATGAGCTCTAGTCTCTAGAGCTCCTTAATTGTGCATCAACATAAATTCCAATGGAAGAC